CGAAATTTATTTGCGGATTCGTGGTGAAACGTTAATTCGAAAAGGTCGGAAGGAGGGGTGGAAGGAGGGTGGAACTCGAGTCGAACTCGAGAGGAGGGGGGGAAACCGAGGGGGAAATGAGAATGATGGAGGAGGATGGAGAAGAGAGAGAGGGGGGGAAGGACAGAAACAAAGAATGGTAGGCGGTAAAAAAAACGGAAAGGACCGACGGAAAGGGATTTCGCTAATGTCATTTTTTTCAGGGCAATGGAAAATTCTTTCCTCTTTAGCGTTTTAATCCGCCTGCGTGCCTGTGTAATTTGATTCATTCTCCGTTCCTCTTCTTCTTCTTCTTCTTTCCCACGGATGAAGGCTTTGCACGAAAATTTGATGGTTACGGTAATCGGAGGGAAAGAGAAGGAGGAGGAGGAGGAGGAGGAGGAGGATGGATAAAGGGAAATTGGAGCCGTCGCTGTTGGCAAGGAAACAAAAGCTAAACGAATCCCGATACTTGCTACAACGCCCCCCTTCACCGTGAAGATTTGCTTTAACGGTATTCGATGATGCTTGGTGCCACTTACTTGGAGGATTATTTATTTTAATGATCGGTTGGAATTTCGATATTGGGGAAAAAACGAATGAAAAATGGTATTCCAATTTCTTAAGAAAGGGGAAATTTTTTTAAATGAAATATAGCAAATTAGAAATTGTATTTAATAATCCTCTTTCATGGATACAATGGATAGGACGTTTTAAAATTCTTTTCCCTATAAATACTTTTTATGGTTCTGTAATTCAAGATTATTTATTACAGGCGTCATTTCGTACAAACATTTATTAAAATAGTAATAAGACGAGGGAGAAAGATTTTGATCCAATTTTCCGAATTTGTCAAAATTCAATCCCAATAGATACGTTTCAATTCAGATGGCCTAAAATCTCATGAGACTTCGCAAGTCTCGGTGATTACACAGCAAATCATAGGAAAGGAGGATACGAGGTTAACAGTCTGAAGAGATAACTGTGAGAAGGGAGATTGGGAAAAAGATACGGTAGGTAAAGAGGAAAGAAAGAGAAAGGGAGGCGAGGCTCATTTCCCTTTCGCCGCGATCGATGAATTTTGAAGGCAAATCGTGGAGAACGAATCGCGGAGAAAAGCGGATCGAAAGAGGTGAAACGATATCCACCTCTCGTTTCCCTCCTTTCTCCCTCCTTCGTTTCTTTCTCAACCGCCGCCGCCATTACCATTACGCGTTTTACCATTTCTCCCCCTTCCCCCGTATTAGTATC